CTCACACACACACACACACACACACACACACACACACACACACACACACACACACACATACACTCACATCCAAACGCACGAGCGCGCGAGTACACCCTGCCATTATCTTTTGTTTTTCCTTCTGTACACCTTCCTTAATTCATTGTATTCTGTCGACATCTTTCATATATTTTAGTTTTCCTCTGTACTGACTTCCACAAAGCTACAATACTATAATTCCATCGTCAGAATTATTTACGAGATGTTTATGACCTTCTTTCAATGCTTGCTCTTACTGGAAAATAAGCTGTCCCTGTGGTTTTATGCACCCCGCATAATTTAGCTAAATTTGATCATTTTTGGAATAATTTCTGATATTTTTCCATCATCATTCTTTGCTAAAATTAACAGAATCGCATTATTTCACATTTTTGGGCTCAGTTTGAATAATTTCAGAATTTTTCTTGCCTAAAACGACGGGGACAGAAAAAGGTAGGCCCTAATTATGAAGAGGTTCACTGCTGTAATTCTGTCACATACTTATAAAACTGTTACTTGATAATTTCCAGAAAGAAGTAACCCCCCTCCACCTTGCAGCCCAAGAAGGGCATGTGGACGTCTGCAAAAGTTTAGTCAAGTATGGATGCAACGTCAATGCTCAAAATTTTGTAAGTTATTATGAGATACTCTGTAGTGTGACAAGACCATGGTTACCTGTCAATCAATGTCTCAATGCAATTTAGCTGATAAAATATCATGAAACAGCCTCTGGGAATGTTTTCATACAATTTTTCCTGTGCTCACAAACCTTGCACAACAGAACAATCATTTTCAAATATTGTCAGTGGCTGGGAAGTGTATATGCTGTTTATAGTCAACAATTTAAGCTGTGTTTGCTTTTTTTTCTGATTTGTTAAATATTTTTCACTTTTCATTCTTTCAAAAATTTAGCTACCATGTATTCCTTTCCGCTGCTTTTAATATGTTCAGAATTTAGAATTGATAAATTTAAAAAAAAAAAATTTTTTCTTCTGTTGAAAGTCATTGTTCATGCTTCTGTTTCCTTCAGCAGGGAAATACAGCTTTGCATTTAGCAGCCAATGGAAATCACAAAGAAGTTGCCAGGGTTCTTGTGGATGCCAAATGTGAACTGGACCTTTCAAATAGTGTAAGAGTTTGAAGAATGTACTGATGTTATTGTTATGAAGAAAAGAAGTTTGGGTTGATAATCTCAGGGCAAAGGTGGGAGCTATGTGCTTACCTCTCTAGCCTGGTGCAGGTGCCTGTATTTGGTAATGTGGGTTTTCCTTTTTTTGTTTTGTTGTTTATTCATTTGTTGTTATTTGTTTTACATGTCCCTTATCTCAAAGGAAATGCTATGGAATCATTACATTTTTCAAATAAGAGAGTCTTACGTGCTGGTGTCTTTTTGATTAAGGATATTTTGTCAGGTGTAAGTCAAATAATAGCTTTTTGGGTTTTCGTAGCCTACCCCTTTTTTCTTGTACAACGGTACACAAAAGTCTTCAGTTACTTCTTTGGTCTAGGTTTGTTTTTGTTTCTCCTGTTACATTTTTCATGCTTTCACATGATAGTGTTTTTATGTCTTCTTAAAGAAAAGACTGTAAAAGACTGAATTGTAATGCTACATCATATTCTTAGTGCCTTTGCCTAGCGACTTCAGATTTATACGTCTCTAATTTATTATATATAGTGGAACATTACTGCCATTTTATCCTTTGTATTTCATCTCAGATTTCTTTTCCTTTTGTTCATTGCACTTTGCACCGCTATTACAAATGAGCTTGAATGTAGATCTATTTATGCTGAGGGGTACATCTATTTATTATGCTGTAAAGTCGTGGTGGCTGAAAAAAAATTTTCCCTTGTTAAATAGGGAACAATCTTACAATGTTTTTTTTCTGTTCCAATTTTTTTACAGCGTCTTCAAACACCCCTCCATGTTGCTGTTGAATGTGGCCATCTGGATGTTGTGCAGATTTTGTTGGCTGGAGGTGCTAGCATGGACACCAGGGAAAAGGTGAGTATCATAGTGTAGGGCCTATCTGTGAATTCTGTAAGTCCCAAAATACATTCAGGACTATATGTGGAAATTTTTGATTGACTGCCTTCCAAAAAAAATCCATAACCATAAAAATGTAAGGTATACCAAATCGGTGTTTTATCCGACATTGATTGCTTTCACTGCTCATAATTTTTGCTATAAAGATCAGATCTATGACCTATTAATTCACAATCAACTCAGCTCAATGCTGTTGTTGACAGTTATCCTTAATACCTTTCCTAAACCCACTGTAGGTCATTTTGAAAGTGGAGCAATCAGTTTCCTTCTGAGGGTACTTGATTGAGCGGTAATATTCTAGGAAATGCATAAGAAATACCTAGGATCCCTATTGAACTCTCAAACTTAAATGCATGAGATTAAGTTGTTACTTGCTGTGGTGCAGTTACTGGCATAGAAAATAAAGAGGAGGTGGGACTAAAGAATTAAAATCTTATTAACGTTACAAAGCTAGAATACATAAACATGCTAAAAGTTTAAAAACGCATTTTCACTCTTCCAACAGAATTCATTAATTTTCGTATCATTTGATCTATATTTCCTATAAATGTTCCTCCGCTATAGAACTCTTTTTTTTTTTTACATGTAGCGGTGTCATGGGTTGCAGGGGGACCGGGAATGTAAATAAATGTTGTAATTTTGTAGTGCTGTGTCAGTACTCAAGTGTTCCTGCAATATTACTAATGTAAAATTCATCATTATTGATTATTTTAATTATGAAATCCTTTCTTTCATTCCTAATTAAATGCAGTTGGTTTTTTCTCATGTTTCAGTCTGGCAAAAGTGCTCTTCAGCTTGCAGCACGAGGGAACTATGTGGCAGTTGTGGATATGTTGATCAAAGCAGAGAGATATTATGCCACTGCCAGGGTATGGATTTAGTTTCCTGCGGCTTTAAAGTTGGAAACATAATCCTGTTCCGTACCAATGTACCTTTAGGATGACAAAAATAGAAATATGTCTGCCCATTGTGCACACTTTATCCATCTCACATAAACAACCCAACACACACACCCATGTACACACCCTCATGCTTACATTCTCTCTCTCTCTCTCTCTCTCTCTCTCTCTCTCTCTCTCTCTCTCTTTCTCCCTCTCTCTCTCTGTATCTCTCTTGGTATCTCTCTCTGTCTCTCTCTTTCTCTCTCTGTCTCTCTATCTCTCTCTGTCTCTCTATCTCTCTCTCTTTCTCTTTCTGTATCTCTCTCTCTCTCTGTATCTCTCTGTCTCTCTGTCTCCTTCTTTCTCTCTCTCTGTCTCTCTCTTTCTCTCTCTCTCTGCCTCTCTATCTCTCTCACTCTCTTTCTCTCTCTCTCTCTCTCTCTCTCTCTTTCTTTCTCTTTCTCTCTCTCTCTCTCTCTCTCTCTCTCTC